TTCTGGCAAGTACCACGCGGTTGACGCAAGCAACGCTCAATACGGCGAACATGCTTGAATGCTTATGAACGCGCCTGAACCGACCTCTGGCGTGCTACTTGCAGCGCAAGCATTGCCATGTGACTTAAAAGCCCAAAGTCGTTTAAAATCTTCAATGCTACTTAAAATTGTGCCTAAAATAGCACTTTCAAGATTTTAAGTCACATTTCGTCCTCCAGGAAGTTGGATGCAAACTGCGGAACCTGCACGCGGTCGACGCCAAGAGCCTCTACGACTGCCTGATTCAGGACAACCCGAACGTTGCTGATAAGCGCAGTTTGATTAATATCCGTTCTGTACAGGAAACTGTAAGTACGCAGATGGGCTCGCCAAGTTGGATTCCCAACTGATGATGCATCTCGGAGAGTGGATGCAGAGTCCCAAGGCTCAATTGCGTGAGGGTCTTGAACCAAAGAGGAACAGTATGAGTGTGAATAATTACTGCAATTCAGAGCACGTAGGGGCTGTTCCCCGCTGTCACTTGGCTCACTCCTCTAGTACGGCCGCTGAGCCAGCTTAAGCTTTACGCTTGCACTGCAAAATGGGCGCCCGAGTGTTTGCTTGAGCACACTGACCTTTTGGCTTAAATCATGCCCTTGCGTCAAATGTCCACGCACGGTTTCTTGTATTTCTTGATTGTCCATGCCCTTCTTCAACCTCATGAGCCTCCTTATCCCCTCTCCTCATCGTACTAGTTGGTAGGAAGTTATCAGCACGCACTGCAATGTATAAAAGCCACCAAAGAATCCTACCTACGCAAAAATGGGAATACCGCAGCGTCCCTTTCCGCATTTCTACATCAATGCAGAACCCACCTGGCATTTGTCAACACTTGTGAGGAAAGTGGCAAATTGGAGCCCACCGATGTGTACCCGCTGACGAGCAGAAATGTAGCCCACAAACAGCTCGAACGTTTGGATCAACAGTGGCAGGCAACCGCTTTCTGTTTCAAGTGGCAGGATGGCATAAGCTTACATCGGAAATCTTTGAGGTGGAGCTGCAGAAGGAGAAGCCGGCTCTTCTCTCAGCTATGACGCGGGCATTCTTCACAGAGGCATGTGGGCACAAGGCGAACGTGACCATTGAATGTCATAGCGTTTGCTGTGCCAGGTCTTCAGCACCGCCTGGGTGAAGCTGTTGAACGATGTCCTCCACTTCGTGCTGTCCTTAACATTCCATTGCCATTCCTTCTTGTAGATGAGCAGTCTTCAGGTCGGGCCTTTCTTGTTGAACAGGCGCTGTAGAACGTCGATGTGAGGCCTGCACAATGCATGCGAGGCCGTAGCCTTGCAGTTTCGAGGATCATTAACTTTGTGAAGGGCACAGGCGAAGAAGCTGGAGAGGAGCTGAATCTTTTCCAGAGAGTTTGCGACAATAGATCTCAGACACATGCGCAGGAGCAGTGGGTTGGCTATGCTTATGCAATTGGAATGGTACTCTCATCGGGGTGCCAGGCTTGGTGCTGGTGCTCGCAGAAGGTCTGACAAAATCACAGCCGGAGGCATTCCTGATGGCTCACTATTTCCAGGGAGGGTACCAGCCAAGAGCTCAAAGACCACATCGTGACCTGCGAAACGGAAGTTGAAGTTGGGATTTGAAGGACTGGGATGCGATTGCGCACGGCCCTCATCCTCATGTCCTACAGCAAGGTTCGAGTACATCGCAACAAGCACAGTGGCACAGCATGGCACAGCCGTTCGTTGGAATCCGAGCCTTTGCCAGGCTCTTCGTGTCCTGCCCTGGCCAAGCCCAGCGCCTCCTGAGCCCCAACCGGTGCGCATCCAACAGCATCCAACAGCATTCGAGCTGTTTGGCAGAGCAATGCAGAGCACCTTCGCGGAGCCAGCGGAGCCCCTGCCTTGCCACCAAGGAGCCCTCGGAGACCCGCCGCTGCTGCAAGAAGACGAAGTTTGTGCACTCAGCGACATGTGGGAGATGCTAAGAATTAAGGCGGTAGTTGCAATGCCGCACCGGGCCGCCGTTTCAGGGACCTCCGGGGCAGCACCGAACGGCAATGGGATATAGCTGGACAGCTAGCAGCCAACGGCTCCAAGGCCTCGTGGGAGTGGTTATCTGACAGGAGAGTCTCGGGACAAGAGATACCAGCTTGCGTCACTGCTGTTGTGCACAGGAACGGCCACCAAAAGTCCATGACAGAAGTTGCTAATGATGCTAATGTTTGATAAGGAGCTCTCCAATTCTCATGACGTCGGCAGGATGGCTATCAATGAGTTGGCCTTTTTTCTGTCCTGAGTTGATATTTGGGATTTTGTCAAGTACCAGGGGTGGTGACTAAGGCTGCCACAGGGACATTACAGCCAACTCAGATACAGGAGAAGCGGGTGGGAAGCGCACAGGAAGAGATTAGAATAAAGCTTAGGGACTCAGCGGGCGGATGGGTGCCAAGGAGATAAGCCACTGGTTCAGGAGTTCAGCTTCGTTAGCAACATTGCAGAAAGCCGCGCAGAAGGTTTGAAAAGACGAGGTGTCAGGCCAGCATGGCGAATACAGAACGCGGTTGAAAAAAGCCTTCGGCCACGGCGATCAACGGAGGACAGCTTTGGGACTGCGGCGGCTGAGGTTCTGGACATCTCGAGCGAAGATACAGTGATAGCACCACACCCTTGACTCGCTTGAGATTATGTCCAGGGGTTAAGAAGTTTTGGGACTGCTGCGCAAGCAGTATGCCAAGCGAGGCATGTGGAACCTGGCTCAAAGTTCTCCGCTTGAAGCATTGGAAGCAAAGAGCCAAGAGCGCCGCTTTCAATAAGTAGCTTCACTAGTCGCTTCAGAAGGCGTTCACATTTTTTGCGTGATTCCGCTCAGAGAAGGACGCCAACCGAAGCTGCTAGATGCTGCAAGGACTTACGCCTCAAAGCCACCTCCACTTTTCAACGGCAGAGTCAGTTTAAGTTGAATCAATCCCGGCAGTAAAGTTTCCTCATTCTCGAATCGTTTTGAAAATAGTCACTCGTCGGGTCGATGCAGTTCGCAATCATTATACCCCATCCACAGCCAGAAGCCCCCACAATGAGTTCAACTCCGAAAAGGGGAAGGCTGGAATGAGGCAGAGAGGAGAGGAAAACTGTTTGTTGTTCACGGAAAGCGTGGACGAGGATTGAATTTCGGTCTTTCTTGACTTGAGGTCCAAGAAGCCCAGCCTTCCAACCGGCGGCATGGGGTGCGGGCACTGTGCTAAGCCGTTAAGCCCTGAGAGCTGACATATGTGAGGCAGATGACGAACATCATCTCTGCTGACACGGAGCCATGGCTTCAGGGGACGTAGCACATCGTAGCGCCAATAGGTGACGCACGTGACTCATGTTACTTGAAATTGTGGATTTGCCCTGGCAGGACAAGTTTACCTTCCTGATGCCATACTTCAACCTCATTTGGTCTTGCCCGTTGCAGGTAAGTGGTGTCGTAATATGTCGTGGTGTCTTGCTTTGTACCCTAGCTAGCAGCTAGCAGCAGCTAGCGTATCTCCAAGAGCTGTGTCCAGATCATCATTTGCTTCGTCATGCTCTTCAACTACGTGAGCTGGTCTCTGCTTGCCGGTGTGGTGGCCGGCTACTCAGAGCCTGGGGGGCTGGGGGAGCTCTTTCCTTTGCTTTCCATTGTTCCTCTCCTTGGAGGTCATGGCTGGCTTCACCGTTCTCTCCAGCACGGTAGCTGGGAAGGCACCGTGTTTTGTTTTTTTTTGGAGGGGCTCTTTTGCGCACGTGACAGTGTGCCCGGATGAGAGGCCCGGAAAATCCAGCAGGAGGCCATGAAAGCCAAAGACGAGCGTCTGAAAATGGAGGTGGAGCTCCTGAAGTGCAAGCCCCAGAAGCTCCAGAACCCTCGCAAGCATTGTTCGTAGTGAAGGGATGCTGTAGCACCTCTTCACCGGGGAAAGCCGGTGCACCAAACTGCAGCGGCCAAGTCCAGAAGAAAGGGAGCTAGGGCCAAGCCGAAGCCTGATGCATCCTGACGCTAAAGCGACCACTCGACCACTATCACTGAGCCCAAAGGCCCAAAGCTACAACCAAGCCGAGCCATGCTGAGCCCTGACTTGCAAGACCAAAGAAAAACAACTGCGGCAGCGCCGCTGAGACGAGGGTTCCCGCTGGGTTTGACAGGAAGCCAAAAGGAGAAGTGACTTAGAACTCAGAAAGAAAAGAAGAGGGGGAAAAGGCTTGCCAAGCTCTTGGCCTGAGAAGGTGAAGAGGCTCGCACTTCCTCACTCACACTCACACAACCTCACTCACTTCTTCTTCCCTCTCTCTTCCTCTTCCTCTCTCATTTTGAGGATTGTGAAGATCATCAAGTTCTATGCCTGGGAACTAGCCATCGAGGACAAGGTGAAAGAGCTTCGCGACAAGGACATTCACGGTACAAAGAAACCTTCTCTTGGCCTTTCGTGCGTTTACCAATATGCCAATGTGTCTTTTGAGGAATTGGTCCTGCAGCTGCGCTACAAGCTTTGGAACGTGGCCGGGCTCCTGAAACAAAAAGCTCAACGTTTTTAATTCTCGGGTTGGCTCAGGCGCTCTTCTTGTCCTTCTCTCTCAGCCCCGTCCTGGTCGCCCTGGGTGCCTCAGCTTCCCTCAACGCTGAAGAGCTTGGCAAATTGCACAGCAATGTCACAGAGCTCTTGCTCAAAAGGGACAGTCGGAAAGATAAGTCATGGAGTCATGCGTGACGTCTCAGGAACGTTTGCATGCTACACGCCGGCAGCTAAGAGCCTACCGGACCAATTATCCCTTGGAGCTGGACAAGCTGCACTGTAGCTACGGATTCGTAGTTGAACCGTGCGGCACTGGATTCGTGGCTCCTCAGGCTTGTGGAAGGGAAGAACTTGGATGCAGCAAGGACCAGAGATACCAAGTTGGACCAAGTAAAGCCGGGAACAGCCAAAATTGGCAGCAGCTGCACTAAGGCCACCGCATTCACGGCCTTGAGTCTTTTCAACATCCTATCATTCCCACTAGGTTGGTGGGGGGTAGGTGAGATGTGCTGGCACAAGATCTTGTGGCAGGCGCTATGCCTATGATGGCCCGCTTCTTCATGGAGGATCCGGATGCTGCTTGTTGGCTCGACGGCATCCTTTGGTCTGGAAGGCCGCGGTCGCGAAGGACCGCATCGAGGCATTCCTGCTGAGCCCAGAGGCAGGAACTCATGAGAAAAAGAGGATGCGCTCATGCGCTGATACACTGCCTTCTTATTTTAGGCCTAGCGGCGGGGGCCGGCCCTGCCGCCAAAACCTAAGTGGCAAGCTTAACCCCCCCATGACCAAAATCTAAATGGCACGGTTAGCCCAAGAAGCAACACCCAAATGGCAAGGTTAGGCCCTCATAGTTGTAAATACACGCAGTTTAGCAGTACAAAGTAGGCAGTCACATGTCTGTAGTTGAGAGCTTGCCCAAAGGAGCATACACCGATTAACTTTGGCTCAAGGAAAATGGTGAACTAGCTGCTTGCTTGGTTTCCTTTTGCACACACTTGCTTGTCGTGTGTGCAACTCCCATAAGCACAGCCCAAATGGCAAGGTTAACCCCTTGAAAGCAAAACCCCAAAGCCAAACTGAACCCTCCGAAGGCAATGGCAAAAGGGAAAGCGGGACCCCAATGATGCTGATAATCCCGCCGTAAGCAATGGCAAAAGGAGAAACGGGACCCCAATGTTGCTGATGATGCTGAGGTGCCCAGCGTCAATTGGGATCCCGTTTCTCCAATTTTGGCCTCCCAGGCACTCAGTGACCCTTGATGGAGTCTAGATTTTTCTCAGTCCTACCCCAAGCTCATGATGCAGATTTTGGTGGTTCTGGGGACCCCAAAATCCCTCAGAAATCCATCCGTGCCTTGGGGATTCGCTTCCGGAACGCATGTGAATTTCGAAGTTGTTTTGGAGTGGTCATGCAGGACCCAAAAATCCCTCAAAAAATCACCCCGTGCTGTGGGGATTTGCTTCTGGAACGCATGTAAATTTGAACTTGGTTTGGGGGTGGCGTGCAGAAGGGTTTCTTGGAGAAACGGAGGTCCAATGATGCAGGGTCGGCGGCATTGACCTCCGCTCCATGGCTAAAGCCAGGGCCATGGCCTGCGGCAGCAACCGCAGGGCGTTGCCCGATTTAAGGGCTGCTGCCGCGCCGCCGACCCCACGACAGTCACCGGGAAGCGTGTCTTCCTAATATGGCAGGTCACCGAAGCAGACTTGCGAGGCTTGAATATCATAATTTCAATGTCGCTCTCTGGCTTGTCCCTGTTGCTCAAACTTATAGGGTATGATGGAACCCCCTTAAAGTCCGGGGAGGGTCGAGGGGGCGAAAGGGGGCTATGGATGCCCCGTCCAAAAATCGAAAAGCCACCTCCTGGACTTTTTAAGAATTCAGCAAAAAAAAATTGTGAGAGGGGAAGGCCGGGGAGGGTCCGGTGGGTCTGGAGGCCAAGCACCTTGCCAACAAAACTGCAAGCGGGTTGGAGGGGAGCTCATGGCCCTTGCAATGAGACTTGTGAATCCGCTCGATGGAACAGGGAGGTTGGGAGAAAGAGGGGCGCGGGTGGGAGGCCGGAAAGCAGGGGTGGAGAGGTTTATGCAGAAGTAGTCCCGTCCAAAAAATCGAAAGTACGTGGACCGTTCGGGGGGGTTCCAGAGGGGGTGGGGGGGTCCCATGGTAAAAATCAAAATGTGGGGGGGGGGGGGTTCCAACGGTGGGGGGGTAGTCCCATGACAGAAATCGATTCTGAATCCACTATAAAAATCGTGCATTTTTGGGGATT